CTACAATTTAGCTCCATTTGGACTGCACCCTGGTGGTTCATTGCCTGAACTGCGGGGGATCTCTTCAGTCCTTGGCTCTTTGTGGCTGGTCGCTTCGAGTGGCTTTTCTGCTGATTTCTCAGGGTTTAGCTCTCTGTGAGGTTCACATCAGGGGCGTATCCAACGTCCTAGCGGATGTTCTGTCTCTGTTCATATCCCTGTCCACGGAATGAACAATCGTTGCTGACTCCTTCAGTTGGCTTTGCCAGACGTTCAGCCCCCCGGAGGTGGACCTCTTTGTGTCAGCATGGTCGAGGCATCTCCCAATATATGTGGCACCCTTCCCCCGACTGCGAAGCCTTCGCGTTAGATGCTTTTTGGTAGGACTGGTCGAGGTGAGGTTATCTGTTCCTCTTTTTCCCCAGTCCAGCTTGCATCGAGTTTAAGCTCAGCTAGAGTCCTGTCAGGGGAGTGTTCTCTTGACGCCATGGTGGCCAGGCCAGCCTTGGTTTCAGGCACTGCTTGCTTGGTGTCCAAACCCGGGGCATTTTTCCGTGACTCTGTCTCTTTCAGCAGATCGGGCCGGTGAGGTACTGTACCTTGCTGGGTCGATCTACTCTTCTGCTCTTCAAGTCTGGTATTTCTGACGCGTGTGTATCACCACGTGTATCGTGATCAGGTGGCTTCTCTCATGGCATCCCACCTGAGGTCTTCTTCTCGATGAGAGTATGAAGTCACTTGGTGTTCTTTTCGCCACTTCCTTACTTTTCATAGGTTGACTTCTGTTTCAGTTCGTGTTGTTTTGTCTTTGCTTTCTTTTTCGGACCAACATCTTATGCCGAATACTGGCACCTCTTATTGTAATTACCTAAGTGTAGTTACAGGATGAGAGCTATGCTCGTAGTGACCCGTCTTCCCAGCACTCATATAACGCTTTGAAATTACTGACGGTTTTAGCCACCACCACCTTCTCACCTAACTTTCTCCAACCGTCTACCACTGTTTGCAAAGGTGAATTTTCTTACATTTCTTTGGCATCTTTGTTTCGTTAGTTTAAATCTACGACTTCTTGTTCTTGAAATTCCGGGTCTCGGGAATTCTTCCCTATCAATTTTATCAATTCCTGTTACTATTTTGTACGTAGTGATCATATTGCCTCTTTTTCTTCTATCTCCTAGTTTTTGCATATTTAATGCCTCTATCGTCTCCTCATAGCTCTTGTCCTTTAGTTCTGGGAGCCACTTAGTGGCATGTCTTTGCACCTTTTCCAGTTTGTTGATGTGCTTCTTAAGATATGGGCACCATACAAACACTGCATATTCCAGCTTTTGTCCAACAAATGTCATAAACAATTTCTTTAGTATTTCTCCATCCATGTATTTAAAAGCAATTCTGAAGTTAGAAAGTGTAGCATAGGCTCCTTGCACAATGTTCTTAATGTGGTCCTCAGGTGATAGTTTTCTATCTAGAACCACTCTTAGATGGTTCTAGATAGGTTCTAGACAGTTTTCTATCTAGAACCACCCCTAGATGAATTTATAGAATAGACCTGGTTCTGTTTTACATTTGTCCGCAATCCCTTTTTTTCTATTTCTTTCTGCCTCTCTCCTCACTGCCGTGTAGTTGTTTCTCGCATCTTTGTATCGCTGGTATGTTTGGGGGTTTGGCCTTTTGCTATACTGTATTGATTCCATTTTTGTCTTTTGGTCTCTGGTCCTCTTGCAATTTCTGTTGAACCAACCCTGTTTCCTAGTTCTGCATCTCTGCTTTGGTATAAATTTTTTTGTGCCTTTATCATATATTTAAAAAAAATTTGATATACATTTTATTTACTTCATGTCCTAACAGCAAGTCTTTCCACAGTGTGCGGCACTGGCGGAGTCACTCCGGCTTTTGTTCGGGGTGGATGTCACTTTGGCTCTGTTCCGTAAACTTTCTCGTGCATTTTTTCACTTCCAGTCTGCACCATCCTGGTCTTTAGATCGGGTTCTCTCTTTTCTCTCTTCCTCGCGGTTTGTTGTGGCCTTCTTCGGTCCAAGATTGTTTTCATAAAACTTAGTTTGTTGGCTTTGGCTTCTGGGGGTTGGGTCAGTAAGCTTCATGCTCTCCTCTGGCGCAAGGGTTTCTGCTCTTTCGGTCCTGGTGGATTTTCTTTTGCAGCCGTCTCATTTTCTGGCGAAGAATGAGACGATGGGCTTTCGGAGGTGTTCGTGGGTTATTGATACTTAGTTGATCAGGCCAGGGGTGCATCATGTTTTGTGTCTGGGTTCGGCTTTATGCCATTGCCTGCGCGCCTCGGGTTCTGTGTCCTGGGACGCGCTTCAGGTTAATCTGATATTCCTCGTTCCCTGTTCCACAGATCGGATCTGTCAGGTTGTCTGCAGGGTTATCAAATCTAGCCAGCCTGCGGTCTACCCTCGTGCCCATGATGTTTGGAAGTTTGTGGCTCTTGCTGCTGTGTTTGGGAACATGTCTTGGGCTGTCCTTTGGGCATGGGGGGTTTTGGCTTTCTAACAGGGTTCTGCCTATCCATTATCTCATTAATGTTCTGGGCCCTCAGCGGTCTTGTGTGGCCTTGCATTGTCGGTTGCAGCCAGTTGTCCTGTCTTCGTCTTGAGGCACGCAGTGCTGCTGCCTCCCGGGTAAGTCCATCTTTTACTTAACTTTGGGTATCTAGCTCCAGGGAGCCGACTTGGCTCCCCTCAGAAAACCAGCATTGAATGTAATGAAATGCCATTTTCTGGGTGAGCCCCGGAGGCTCCCTGGCATCCTCCCTCTGGTCGGCATTTTTTGTTTCCGTTAGATCAGACTCCGAACTGGTGGTCTAGTGGCTGGCTCGGTGGGGGGTGGCTCATATGGTTGATGACGATTTGCTGGTTACCTTCATTTTTCTTGGGGTGGGGGAGGGGAGTTCTTGGGCTCTATTTTGGGGTGCCTACTTTTCTGGGTGTCCAACTCCAGTTTATGGCAGACATGAATATACTCTTTGAGAGTGGAGTTTTCATAGGCAATTGCTCCCTTCACCACTGAGAGAATCGTGTTCTGGCTCGTGGTTCCCTGTAGGCACAAGGACTCCATATGACTGAAGTCCCAGACTAATATAGCTAATATAAGTCAGATAGCTCCAGGGGAGCCTCCAGGGCTTGCCCAGCAAATGACGTTTCACTACATTTAACGCTGGCTTTTGTGTAGTTATTTCAACAGTTTTAAACTTTACAAATTTTGCTGGTGCCAAAGAGCATTCTCCTTAACACTGCACTGCACTTTGTGCCTTTGAAATGAAAATACTGTACACTGTAGTTTAGTTGTGCAATATTTTTAACATTATTCTCATTCTTAAAAATGCTTGGTTAATGTTAATAATTCATTAATAAATGCACCATGAAGTTGTCACATGAAACATGTGTACAGTGCAGGTTAAAATGCTTTTTAATCTGCTGGGGTGTAAATCTCCAGTAGCTTCTTTACAAAATTCATTCTTCCCAGCGATATTTATTTGCTGGCTACCTCCTGTGTGCATTTTTTGTTATAAAATTAAATGAATACTGTAATTCATATTCATAGGGAAAATAATGCAAGGTTTGGGAAAATAAGCAAAATATTCTAGGTGCTGTAGTTTTGTTGTGGTTGGCATAAAAGATGGATTTACCCCCAGAATGCTTTTGTCACAATTATTGTCTACTGTGCAACTGTGTGATTTTGATGTCCCAGGTTCAGTCCTTGGCAGGATGAAACGTTTGACCATTTGTTCTTGCACCTCGTATGTGTGGGTTCTGTAACACCCATGATCTCCCCCCCCCCTTAGAGTTCACACCCAGGGAAGCCTTCTCCAAGAGGTCAGCCCAGATGACCTCCGGTTTATCTTGTATATTGATTAAAAATTCCTGGGTTAGTCTTAGTCAGCATAGTTTCAAGTATGTAATATTTCATGCAAGGAAATTAGACTCCAGATTCTTATGTGTAAACATCCCTGGATCTCCCCCTTTTGGCCAGGTCAGAGGTCAGTCACACACGTAATTAATAACTCCTCTCTTGAAGAGTGTATGGTGAATGTCAAACAAGCTTTTTGAAATATTTCTTGAGTGTTTGTACACTTTTGGTCTAGCAACAGCAGATCTCCCCCTCCCCCTGTGGGGGTTGTATATAGAGGGCCTGTAGGAATATAGGAGAGGCAGAGGGCGGTACACCGGGATCGAAAGCGGGGCTGTGAAGAACATCTCAGCCCGGGAGAGAGATAGCTTAAGGTAATGTGTGTGATCTCTGAGTTTTTGTTCCATGTCCAAATTTCTTAACTTTTTGCCAGTGTTAGTGTAGCATTTATAAGTAGTGATTGACATAATTTTGGTCTCAATAAACTCGTTAAATTTCCCGTCTGTGTCAATTGTTGAATCCTCTTAGCCTTTTGGATATAGTGGCTGACAACCGTTTTCAAAATTAATGACAGTCATAGAAAGTACTCTCCAAGTCAAGCAATGTTTCTTGCCTCGTTGCTTGATATAGTTTCAATGGTCAAAGGCAGATGGTGGCAGCGTATTTCATCCTGTGTTAGCATCTCCTTGTTGGCAGTGTACTTTGTAGTCCCGGTGTAACCATCATATGTCAGCCCATAACAGTGTTACCAAGTGCAACCAATGGGGAAGTGTTACTCAGGATAAGTAGTGTTCCATTATAGTGGTGTTCCATTTTAGTAGTGTTACAATAGAGTGGTGTTACAGTTCACCTAGCAGTAAATAGGTGCCCATGGAGTTAAGCAACTTTTGTGATCTGCATCCTGGGGGAAGGTCAGCAGGTGGTATAGGGAAGTTTCAATAATCCTGACAGTTTTCCCCTCTTCGACAATGAAAAACCAAAATGGAAACCTTTTCTAGCGAGTCATGAGAAGAGTGTGTGAGGGTTTAGGATATGAATCTCCAGTAATATCACAAAAAGGCTTGGTTCGAGGAAACTGGACCTCTATTGCTTTCCCACTGTTCACTTGATATAAGGTTTCCTTTTTTATATATATATATATGTATATATAGGTGATCCTGCGTCGCAGTCTACAGAGATAAAATGGAAAGGAGGACACAATCTAGTAGAACGATTTCGACAGAGGATGCAACAAGGGGAAAAGGGTGGAACAGGCCGGAAACGTCCTCTGGAACTTCGGTCGTTCTTTTCCTGGTTTTCTGATCATGGAGATCCATCAGCTGATGAAATTGCAGAGGTGGGTATTTATACATACAGTATTCATATATTTCAGGTATGTTCATGCAGCCCTGTTCTCTTGATTTGCCTCTTCATTCAAAATACAAAGTATTAGCAAAACCTGGAACATACAAACCCAAGCAACCTCCCCCCCCCCCTCCTGCCCCAAACTAACTTACCAATGCATAGAAAATGTAGATACAGAATTTGTGAGCCACTAATTTTCATAGTCCTTTGTAATTTGTATGTTGGGCATCATAACAGTGTAAACACTGCTTGCAGAGAGAGTTGTGGAAGGTTGGAACAATTTAAGTTAGAAAGTGGGGGATGTCAACCATCAGTACAGTAGTTTCAAAGCATCATATTACAAAGCTTATAAGGACTAGTGACTTGTAATGCCTCTCAATAACCCAGGTTGGTAAACATTGTGTACATTGTAGCATTTACCTTTCAAGCTTAAAAGTTGTTCTGTCTTCCATATGTAATTGCAGAGTCGTTATCTGCAGTTATTAAGTGAATTAAACACTATTGGCTGCTCATTCATATGTTCTATTTTCAGTCAGAAGTGCTTTCTTTACATGTCCATCCTTGATGAATAACCAATACACATCCTTTAAATTCTTCCCACTTTCCAAGTGGTGTTCTATCAACTGTAATTCATATTAATGTTTATATTTCGTGCACTGAATTAAATTCAAGCAGGTAGAAACTGCATGTATATATTGGAAAAAAGAAGACTTGAAAAGTTCGCATTTTTGTTTTGGCATTACTGTAAATTGAATTTATCCTGGTCATGTTTTACTTGTTTCATAATACATGCTGTATATATATCTTTAATATTTACTGTAATAAATTAGCTTGCCTTTAAATTGTATTACTTTATAGAATATCATTTCTTAACAATTGATCATGGTGTTCAGAAAACTTGAGCATTTACACCTTTTAATTACTGTTTCTCTGAGTGAATTGAATTTCATAGGCATGAGTTTATCTGGAGGTTGTCCAATTAAAACATTACAGGTGAATGACTTCTGTTCACAAGTACAAGTATTTTGTTTTATTTATCTAAAAACAAAACAAAAAATACATTTAACAGGAAATTGAATATCCATCACCCTCTTATTCCTACTGACTTCATTTTGTGGGCTATGATTCCATAGTCACATTTATCAAATGCATTTGCAAAGTCTGTGTAGACAACATCTGCATTATTTTTCTTCTAATGCATCATTGATTTTGTCATAGTGGCCATGTAGCTACAAGAGGCATGATCTTCTAGCTCTAAATCCATGTTGGCCTGAATTGTGAAGATCATTGGTCTGCATAAAATTAGAGATCTGATGCCTGATCACACTACTGAACTTTTATTATGTGGGACATTAGTGCAACTGGTCTGTAGTTCTTAGCTAATGCTTTGCTCCCACTCTTGTGTAGGAGGAGCCATTTCTGCTGATTATATCTCACTTCTTATATCTCCCCAGTGTCTAAGCTTTTTCTCCACACTGTACTGGAGCCGGTCGGCCGAGCGGACAGCACACTGGACTTGTGATCCTGTGGGCCTGGGTTCGATCCCAGGCGCCGGCGAGAAACAATGGGCAGAGTTTCTTTCACCCTATACCCCTGTTACCTAGCAGTAAAATAGGTACCTGGGTGTTAGTCAGCTGTCACGGGCTGCTTCCTGGGGGTGGAGGCCTGGTCGAGGACTGGGCCGCGGGGACACCAAAGCCCCGAAATCATCTCAAGATAACCTCAAAATAACTGAGTGCTTGTGCTACTGGCACTTTTAAACAAAATCTGAAAGGAAGATGAGTAGATCATAACATAACCAAGATGTGAAATTACAGTGTGCGGATCATAACATAACCAAAAAGTGAAGTCTGTTCTCTCCATCTGCATGTGTTTATATATCTACATGTATTAGAGCAAGCACTCCCTCTTCATCTACATGCATTTATGTAGCTTCAGAAGCTGCCTCATATGGGCCAATAGACCTTCTGCAGTTACCTTTGTTCTTATATGTATTAGAGCTCCACTACACAAGAGAGGTAGTAAAGCTCTGGCAAAATACTATAGACCAGTTTCACTAACATCACACACAATTAAAGTTTCTGGGGAAGCCCTGTCGGCTCCCTGAAGCTATCTGAACTGATATGTGCTATACAGTATTAGTTTCGGGTCACCAGTCACAAGGAATTTTTACGCCTAGTGGGAACCAAAGCCAGAACCTGGTTCCCTTAGAGAAGCGCAGGGGGCAATGGCGTATGAGCACTTTACATTTAAAGTACCGGGTATGTCATATCTTGCCATCGACCGGGGTGGGCACCCAGAAAGATAGGCAAACCAAAATAAACAACTAGCCATAAATTGTGACCTACAGCTAGAGAGAGCAAAGAAACTCCTGCTAAATGAGAAGAAAATAATAGAACTAGCAGCCCTGCATGCAACTAGTACTCCTGCTCGTTGGCTTGACCCCTTCCTTTTCCCCCCTGACATGGGGAAGGGAAACCGGATGGCTGTTCCCACCTCGGTTCTCATCCTGATGTGCTATTGGTCGCTCAGTCACTTTTGGCCTCAAGTTCCTGTTCTGGATTTTGACCTGTGTGGCTGTACAGCCTATCCTCCTGTTTAGATAGTACCTGTTGTGACCGTCGTCAAGAGTCACGAATTCGTATGTACCCAGCTTTAAGATGAGAGTATACTGACTAGCAAGGAATTCTTTTAAAATAAAGGTAAAAAACGAATCTGGTTACATTGTATGTCGGTATATGTACTATGGTCCTCATCATTACTATAATTACTACCAAAACAGGATAGGCTGGGCTGTACCAGCTGTGTGTGTGGTGTGGTGACCAGGTGTTCTTGTACTTGGAGCTGCTTGCACCTAGGGTACCCTTCCCTGGGTGCTCTGCAAGTACTACCCTTGCATGTCAGGGATAGCCAACATGCAGTTCGGATACCTTCAGGAAGCCTCCAGGGTTTTGCACAGAAAATGGCATTTTATTACATTCAATGCTGGTTTTTTGAAAGAGTAATTAGATATTAGATCTCCAGTTTGATGAAAAACAATTAACTTCACAACCCAGTGGGAAGAACATGTCTGTCACAATTACTCAACCACTATAGCAAAAGCATTAGAAGAAAAATAAAATGCAGATGTTGTATACTCAGACTTTGCAAAGGCATTCGATAAATGTGACCATGGATTGATGCCCATAAAATGAGATAAATAGGAATAACGGGTAAAGTGGGGCGTTGGGTTTTCAACTTTGTCAAACAACATACTACGAGTAGCAGTCAGTCAAATAAGATAGTCCAATTAGTACAGTGAAAACCTCTGTACCCCACAGCACAGTCCTTGCACCACTTCTCTTTCTCATTCTTATCTCGGATATAACAGAAATACTAGTCACAGCTTTGTGTCATCCTTTGCAGGTGGTTCAAAAACCAGCATGAAAATTTCCTTTGTAAGAAGACACTGAAAACTACAAGCTGATACTAATATAGCCTTTGATTGGGTAAAGAAAAATAACATGTTAAACGGTGATAAGTTCCAGGTACTTAAGTATGGTGGGAATGAAGAACTTAATACAAAATACTGTACCTTCCTAGGGTACAGGACAAGATCATAGAAGGAAAGCAGCATTTAAAATATCTGGGAATTATGGTGTCTGACGACCTGACATTTGGTAAACAGCCTAGCAAATTTTGCAGCAGCCAGGAAAATGTTTGGATGGATTATGAGAACATTCAAATCTAGAGACCCCATAGCAATGCCAATATTATTTATATCACTGGTGCTGTCCCGTCTTGAGTATTGCTCGGTACTCACTTCCCCTTTCAGAGCAAGAGAGATTTCTGAAATAGAGGAAATAAAGAAAACCTATATGGCACACACACATAACACATCTAAATTATTGGGACTGTCTCAAAGCTCTCAAAATGTATTATCTGGAAAGGAGACGAGAGGTATCAGACGAGTGTGTGTCAGGTCCCAAATCTACACATTAGAATAACATACTGGGGCGAACAATACGGAATAAAATGTAGAATAGAACCAGTGAGGAGTAGAGGTGCCATATACACAATCAGAGAACACTGAACATCAGGGATCCACAGCTGTCCAATACTTCCCAGCAAGCATTAGAAATATTGCCGGAAGAAAGTTGGATATTGTCAAGAAGCATTTAGATAGGTTCTTGCAAGAAATACCAGATCAACCAGGTTGTTATGGATATGTGGGCTGCTCCAAGCAACATCCTATTGGACCAAGTTATCACAATTCAAGCCAGGCTTGGGGAGTAGATGAACTCCTGGGACCCTCTCCATGTGCACATGTTTATATAAAAGGTGTCGTAAGAGTGCCTACAAGATTCCCTCGCGTGCCTTTTATTCTCTTCTATCTGGCTTATAGGTCTTCACCAAGTCAGAGGTGATTGTAACAAGAACACCCCTCCCCCTTCGCCCCCACACATGCACCCACCCAATGTTTAGCAATTTCATTTACACAAAGTCTACAGGAATTTATTCCCCATTGTACAGTATAAAGAGGGACTGCTGTACAGGAATAAATTACAGAGGCCATTGCGTTTGAATGTTAATTTTTTATATTGCTTAACCAGCTAATGCTTGGTTAGGATTTTCTTGTAAGGAATTGATTATGAATTGATTATATATACTACAATTTTTACTGAATATTTGAAGAGAAATATTTGTATTTAATGTTGTAGAGATTTATAATATTTTGTTTAGTGTAAATGTTTTGGTTACATTCTGCTGGATATTGTTTGCAAAGAATAATGAACTAATACATCTTGGATGTCTCAGGTGATCAAGGATGACATGTGGCCCAATCCCCTGCAATATTTCCTGGTGCCAGACATTGAGGTAGAAAATGGTGAGGGGGATGATGATGAAGAAGAACTTGAAGATGAGGAAGTAGATGATAATGTGGTTGTGGTTGAGGAGGAGATTGAAGAGGTTGACGAAGAAGGTGTAGAAGAGGAGGAGGAGGAAGATGCACAGGGGGAAGGTAAGCTGTCAGCTGATTGTTTATATGAACAATGTACAATAAGATCACCTGAACATGATATATATCAATAAGGAAATATTGAGACCATATGATGGGATTGAACCTGCATCCTTGGACTCCTCATACACCTGAGTGTTGGTGGGTACTGTCTAAGCTCAGTGATCCAAATCATATGTGCCCCCCCCCCCCTTCCCCTCATTTGAGCTACTCAAACATTTAACTTAGTCAACCTTTCTTACCTGGATTGTCAAAAATGAATAGCCATTTTCATGTATTTTAATCACTCGTAGCTTATCTTTAATGGATACCATAACTTACTTCCTCTTAACACCTCCATACTGATTGCTGCTGCTACCAGATATGGTGTTAGTAAGAAATTAATTGTTTCTATTAAAATAAAAATGGTGGGAAAGAAAAGCTTTCAGTAATGTAGTGGCACGAGGTAGAATCATTTGAGGAAAGAACACCTAACAGAGCAGGTTGACTGAGTTTGGACCAGTCCATCCCAGGTACAATACGTAGGCTGCCAGATGTGCAGACTAGAGGCACCTTGGAATATATACATACTAGATAAAGCATCAGAGATATGCACACCCTATTTTGAGAACTGCTCTAACCAGATGTACTGCTTGATGGTCTAGTTATGCCTTTTTTTTTTTTTTGTTACCTTATTTCTGAGACTGTGGTTGACCTTAAAGTTTCCTTATCGCTAGTTTCATGGGGTTTGGTGAACACACAAAGTACTGTACATTCCTCTTGCATCTAGGCTTCTGCCTTTGAGATTTGGCCCCAGGGTTGGTTTGTCTAATTTCCATGTTTCAGGGTTCTTTACTTGTATCATTTTCAATGTCTCCTGCTGATGTTGAGTGGGGTTCTTTCATGTGCAAGTTTTTTGTCATGCATTATATAACATCATCAAGTACATTTACACAGATGCTTATCATTCTTTGAGGATTTTGTCAAACATTTTCCATTGAATATCCTCCCTTCCGTCACTGATAGCCACTCTCTCTTTCTCAGTTTCGAGCTTGAGTAGTTCATGTTTTCTCTGGTTTTGTTGTACCTCACCTGGAAAAATTGTCTTTTCCATTTTGTCTATTCCCTCTATATGTACATTAGAAGACAGGACAAGAACCAACATGTTTACAATGTTGTTAGTTATATTCACTTGGTGTATCCTTGTATTTTGTTTCTCATGTCTCGTGTTGTGGCAAATTTTTGGATGCTTCTCAAGCACTTCTCTGAGCAGTACAATCAGTTACTACCATGTAACCCTCCCTTCTCAGAATATTTTCTTAGATGGGATTCAGGTGGTATTTGAGATGGAAGGCTTTATGTTGTCAGGGCTGGTGACTGTCAGGAGTTATTGAGAAGTTAACCAAGGTACAGCTTGGCAATTTTTGTGTTGTCAAGTTGTGCGTGGAAAAGCCTGTAAGTATATGTACTGGACTGAGTCAATATTCAGGGGTGCATTGCATCTTACACAGTACTGTACTCTAAGTCATCTTTATGTGACTCGTGCAGTCTCGTCAGATATTGCATGATCATCTCTGTATGACTTGCACAGTGGAATGGTTAAACTCTTGCTATCACAAATCGATAAGGGTCCAGAGCTGACCAAAATGTTGTCACTTTCATTTCATTTCATATACTGTATATGTGGTTTTGGTTACTTATTTTGAGCCACTAATCTCTCCAGAAGAACTAAATTCATGAAGTAGTGTGGTTATGGGAGGTGTGGGTATATGTGGTTATAGTTTGTCCTCACTTCAATTAGGAATCACTTTGTTTGCTCCTGTAATCTTTTCTGAAATTTTAAGCTTGCACCATTGCTAGAGTGTATCAGATGTCTGTACTATATTTTATTGCATTAACATTTTAGAAATGTACATTATATAAGTACTGGTACTGTATTAAAATCTTTATAATTAGGGAATGTGTGTAATTTTTCTCAACAGAAGACGGTGAAGCGGATGAGTGAGGCCGGCTATGTCAGGTTCTGGAGTTCCAAGAACATGGTCTAAGCTATCAGTCATAAATAGGAATGGTCTCAATGGTTTACTTGATCAGACTACTTTTGCTAGTTATAAAATAGATTGATTTTAGGAACTTGCTGTTCTCATTAAGTATATTTACATGATGTATGAGCAAAGGGTAAATGGGGTAATTTTCTAATTGTCAGTAAACTACATATTTGTGAAGTTTAGCATGGCAAATTTTAGCCTAGCTATTTTGTTAAAAAATAATTTGTTTCATTTATTTCCGTAACAATTTTTATTACACAAAATTTCGTTTGTTGAAATTGCTATGTGACATCCTATAAGTGGGAAGAAGAGTGATGCAGTAGGACTACACAAATTTTATACACTATTTCCAGTTTTCTCAAATTAGATTCGTATGCATTGCCCAGTCGATGTCCTATGCAAGTTAGCATGTGTGCAGTGGGTATGCAGTAATTTATAAATATAAAAAAGAACTTCTTTTTATGATCTAAAATATATGATGTATATTGTTGAGAATGTCTGCTGTACCCATTGAACACGTGACTTTGAGACTCCTGTGCTTGGAGACTACTAACAGCATAGGCAGTATAATTAGATTTAATTTACTAGAATGACAAAACTAATCATGTACAAGTTTTCTACTATGGGAACAAAAGTAATGTGTCATGATGTATGATCATTCCTATCATTAAAAGTCACTTTTGTAATTTGGGTTTCCTTTCTATTATACTTTACTTTTAACATTGCTCATCATGTCCTTTTCCTCTCATATTGGCTCAAGGAATAATATACAGGAGATTTTGGCTGATGTGAAACACACATGGTGCCAAGTTGTCTTCCAGTCTTGGTGCTGCCCTCTCATACTCTATAATGGAATTGTCTTCCTGCCTAGTAGGTGTTATTTTCTCATGTTTACTCTTCCAAAGTATAGAAGATGTCTGTTATTCCCCTCAAACTTTGCTTTGACCTCTGCAGAAGACAGGGTAGGGAAGACATCTTGAAGGACAAAGCCTAGATATTGGCATTATCCCTGACATACAGTACTAAAAACAGCAGAGATAGCACCACTCCATAAAGGAGGAAATAAGGCAGAGGCAAAAAATTACAGACCGATAGCATTAACATCGCACATCATAAAAATTTTTTGAGAGAGTGCTAAGAAGTAAGATCACAAAATACATGGAATTACAGCATCTCCATAACCCCTGACAACACGGTTTCAGAACCGAGCGCTCTTGCCTGTCGCAGTTGCTGGACCACTATGATATGGCATTAGATGCTATGGAAGACATACAAAATGATGATGTAATTTACACAGATTTCGCAAAAGCTTTTGATAAATGTGACCATGGTGTTATTTCATATAAAATCGTTCAAAAGGAATTACTGGAAAAATAGGCAGATGGATCTACAATTTCCTGACTAACAGAACTCAATGTGTAATAGTCAACAAAATAAAATCCAGCCCATCAACTGTGAAGAGCTCAATCCCCCAAGGTACTGTGCTTGCTCCAGTACTTTTTCTCATCCTCATATCGGACATAGACAAGAACACAACCTATAGCACTGTATCATCCTTTGCAGATGACACTAGGATCTTCATGAGAGTAGGCAACATAGAGGACACGGCAAACCTCCAATCAGATGTAGATCAGGTCTTTCTATGGGCTACAGAAAATAATATGGTGTTTAATGAAGACAAGTTCCAGCTCATGCGCTACGGAAAAAATGAAAATATAAATACGGACACCACGTACAAAACTCGGGCAAATCATAACATAGAACGAAAAGGCAATGTAAAGGATCTGGGTGTACTCATGTCGGAAGACCTTACCTTTAAAGAACACAAAGTAGCCGTCACAACTGCTAGAAAAATGACAGGTTGGATAACAAGAACTTTTCACACTAGAGATGCTATACCGATGATGATACTTTTCAAAACGCTTGCGCTCTCTAGAGTGGAGTACTGCTGCGCAATGACAGCCCCTTTCAAAGCTGGAGAAATTGCTGACCTGGAGAGCATGCAGAGATCCTTTACTGCTAGAATCCACTCAGTAAAACATCTAAATTACTGGGACCGACTAAAGAGCCTAAATCTGTACTCCCTTGAGCGCAGGCGGGAGATATATAATAATTTACACGTGGAAAATAATTGAGGGGCTGTTCCCAAACATGCACACAGAAATAACATCACATGAGACCAGTAGACATGGCAGGATGTGCAGAATACCCCCGTTGAAAAGCAGAGGTGCAACTGGTACTCTGAGAGAGAACTCTATCAACATCAGAGGCCCGAGACTGTTCAACACGCTTCCACTACACATAAGGGGCATAACTGGCCGACCCCTCACAGTGTTCAAGAGAGAACTGGATAAGCACCTCCAAAGGATACCTGATCAACCAGGCTGTGACTCATACGTCAGGCTGCAAGCAGCTGCTCTAACAGCCTGGTTGATCAGTCCAGCAACCAGGAGGCCTGGTCAACGACCGGGCCGCGGGGACGCTAAGCCCCGGAAGCACCTCAAGGTAACCTTAAGGTAAGGTACGTCAAGGCTGCTAACTCCTTATCTAGAGCTGCAACATGTTCTTTCATAAATTGGCAGCCTTCATGTACCCAAAGAAAATTTCTTTCATGATGTTTCATGATGAAAATTTCATGATGTTCCTTCAGTATCATGGTACAGTATTTTTAGTGTTGTTTATTGTTACATGTCCTTAGTGGACCCTCCAGAAAAAAAATAAGTGAAAATAATTTAATACCAGATTATTTTTTGTGGGGGAGGGAGGGGTGAGGTTTGTTGAATATCTGGAGAATACCTGATCATGTATAGCTGAAGTAAGTAATTATCAAAAGAAGGCACCAAACCGGGAAGGCTATGTATGTATAGCTGAAATTTGTTACTGAAGATTGTTTCACATTCATCACCATCTCACAGATGGTGATGAATGTAGAAGATGTAGATGTAGAAGCTGGAAAACAAAATAAGTCAAACAAATGTAAGGAAACAGGTGAGAAAGAGGCCCAGCAGTAAGGAGGGGTACAGGGAAGAACAAGTCCCAGCAGTAAGGAGAGTACAGGTGAGAATAAGTCCCAGCAGGAAAGAGTGCAGATAACAATAGTGTGCAGGGTCAGGCGAATATAGGGTTACAAGACAAGACAAGGTAATAACAGTAAGCCAAATAAACTGACAGGTGAGAGAGCAGGGACTCCCTCTGAAAAGGTGCAACTAGGGAAGAGTTGGTGTTATTCTTGACACGATCATGTATCCCAGATTTGATTTCTGGGCAAGATAAAAATGGTTGGCTCGTTTGCTTTCACCTAATGTATCTGTTCACCTAGTGGATAGATGCCTAAAAGTTAGGCAACTGTTACAGGGTTGCATCCTGGGAAAGGTCAGTTAGACCTTGGGTGGACTTTGATACAAGCATAAAGTATGCATATATACACGGGCTTCTTGTCCTAGGCAAAATGAATTATTTGTACAGTACAGTATATTCTATTTGCTCTGTAATGTGTCATATTTAATCTTTATGGCTAAGAAGATATCACCTCAAGGGGAAAATTACCTTTAACACTTAAAATTTTAATTTATACATCGTTAGGTATTATCATTTACGTAGTTAGGATTATTGGTAAAGCTTAATAATGCTTAAAAGTATTATTTTACACATTCCTGGCCCTGTTAGTTTGAAGTTTTCTAATTACTGTATGTCCAAACATTGGGATTCAAGACTTTTGATATTTGAGTGTTAAATGCCATAAGTGTATAGATAACAGCTTAATTATCTGTCTAGTGCTGTATAGAGATATTTTTCATCTAACTTCTACACTATGTAGTCTAGGCTCCACATTCTAACAGGAACTCAGATTGAAGGAAAGTCTCTGACCCAACAGAATGCACAACATCCCTAGATGATGACATGCGCGGTTTCTCATGTATCCTTTGCCCAGAAGAAAAGCTTCACATTCACATTAAATTGCCTTCCATGTCATAGCTGCAATTCCCACCACAAAAAATGTGGGGGACAGGCGAGACAAATCCTAGTAGCAAGGAGAGTGCAGGCAAGAGGCAAGGTAATTATGACGAGAAAATACTAATCCAGTAAGACTACAGTATAACACTAAGTACTGTACTGCATATGAGGACAAGATGTTGGAATGAGGATATAATGAAGAAACAGTGCCCACCCAATTTTTGGGAAAAGCTGCACAATAGAGGATTGTTACTATGCAGATATGAAGGTTTGAATGACACATCCCAGATGTATCATAATAATGTTTTATGTACTATATCTATACAATATTTTTCAAGTTAATGGAGAGGAATGGTTACTGGCACATTTATGGGAAATGGGATGGCAGAAGCCAAATAAAGATATTTGAGAATTAACTACAAAAAATATTAGAGAATAGTGTAGGAAAGAAACGTGGGATGAAATAAATATGTAATGATAGTTATAATGAGAATTTATAGGAGTGAAGTACAGTATATGGAGTTAGTAATGACTGGCTAGAATCTTGAAAGTAAGTTTTGTAGTTGTACACATGAAAGTTTGGCGTTGTCACCAAAAGAAACTAGACTGAAAAGTTTATAAGGAAGAGTCTATCATAAGACTTAGGCTGTGAGGAGGACCACTTCTGAAGGAGCCAGCAATGTGGATAGAACACATCTTTTATTTTAATTGATGGCTTATTCAGAGCAGCCACAAGAGTTTATGCTCTTGCAAAAATATTGTCAATTGTATATTCAACAATTGTTTTCACATACCAACCAAATATTGCAGTAAGCACTTAGTATTGAGGGTACCACCATGATTTTTGCTAATTATATTTGTGTATGCATGGCAACCATTATTATATCAATGGTTGGAAGTGAAAAAGGTTAAACAAACTTGCCAGTAGACATTTATACAACAAATATTTTTTGTTTTGTTACCGTAACATTGCTATTACTGAGATTATAAGTCCATAAACATACCAATACTTATATTTTGGCACAAACTTGGCACAGCATAATCTAAAAATGTTGCACACTGTCTACAGTAATTCAGTTCCAACACTGCCGCTAAACAGCAACCACTTTTCGCCAGCAACCTAGTGTGCTTTGAGAAACAAAACCTAGCGACACTGATCACATATATATTTGTCGGAAAGCCACTGGGAATGAAAGCAGTCCTGCAAGGAAAATCTCTCACACACACTAAGCAACTCGAGTCAATGAAACATAGCCAGGTATTTTAGCTTTTAAACCCAATATTTGTTCTTATGTTATAGAGATGTAGTCCAATTATGGTCATTGACTGTTTAACTTCAGCATGGGCAAATACTGAAATTAGTAACAGATTCACGTTAAGTTTAAGTATGGTAAATGTTTTCGTCAATGTAGCCTGCTTGTACTGTTCACATATGCCCAATTAAACTGGCTTACAAAGGCCTGAGGCTGGGTAATGTTGGCCTTCAAATGTTTGACTGGACAGATAGCTTTCAAATTACAAGATGCCTGAATGTTGAATGGTTCTAAATTTTTTACTTAGACATGGCTGACTAAATCTTGGCCAGTTGTAGCCAACAACAGTTCTCATACATGCTTTTCATTATGCCACCAATGGGTAAATGTTTATTACAGAAATGAATCATTTTTATGGTAAGTAAATGTTATAGAAAATGTTATATTTTTAATATGGTTAATCTGTTGTCTAAACAGCTTTGATTGTGTTGATCTTTTTAGATGGGAGATGCAAAAATCTGAGAAAATCCACTATGGATGCGAGGTGATGCGAACCTGCGACCACAGCATTGCCAGTTGCATATTCTCCCACTAGATCTTTTTTGTGCATATGCAAAAATATGTCTGGTTAGGTTTCTTATGTATGGGTGTACTATCTGCATATTTTACCTCAATATAGGTATTCTATCTGTTTTAGTTCAATATGATAGTCCTTTCTATTTAACCCTTTAAGTTTTCTTAGTATAGTTTACTCAAGTTTGCAATCTCATTTTCATGCAATCCTGTTTGGATCTAATCTGGTTTGTAATTTACTACAGTATTCACTTTTGATAAACTCCTGTTTGTCCATGTCTAGCTTCTTTGTTTTCCTTTTTTGTTGAAAAATATATATATTATCTATATCATTTCTTTTCGTGGAATTTGTCTTGCCTGTCAAATGAAGCAGTGCCATATTTTTCAGTTTGACATCTGTTTCACTCCTTTTTCTTGATTCCTCTTGCCGTTTTGCTTCTGTTTTCTATATTATACATTTCATTACTTATCTAGTTCCTTACTTCCTCTTTTTGCCTGTCTCCATCATGCGAACCAGGAGGCCAAGGTAGTTGGTAAAGCGGTGGTGGCAGTCCATGGAGTCTCTGCACCCGCTCAGGGGCATATCCAGCCGGGGGCCGTTGGGACCTGCCGGAATATTAATACAGGTATAAGAGTTTGTGATAAATTATTACCAAACTTGGGTAGCAGTTTGTCACTGCACAATGCATGGATAGAGCAGTAGATACAGTACTTTAGTGACTACTGCAATTGGAGTATACTACTTGTGCAACTCGTCAAAAAATTATAGTACAGTACTTAAAGGAACTATGGTGGAATGCACAAGAAACTATTCATTTTGTAGAGGGCATGAGACCAACAACAAACCCAAATTTTCCGATGCCTTGTATAGCACCAACATACTAAATTAGGCTTAAGATGGCATGTATTATGCCCAGGATTCCAATAGTATGAAAAACTTTTTGGTACAATGGTCCAATTTTGATTGGGTTAGGTATAACTGCCTTGCATGGACCAAATAGGCCTTTTGCAGCTAACTTTATGCTTATATTCTTGCTAATCATGGTACCCAGGCAATCCAAGTGCCCAGCCCTTTTCAAGAACCCCTCCCAGGTCTCTTCTCCCCCACCTCTTACACCCTATCTCCCTCTAAACACAAATTCCCCATATCCTTCAAAACACACACACATCTCTGCCCCCCAAACTTTCCCAATCTCCATATACACCCACCCGATCTCCTCAAAACTCACAACCCTCCCTGTAAACCCACAACACACATTCATCATCAGTGCCAAAATCTACACACCCTCCCAGTCTGCCCTATCTCTCTCTCTCTCTCTCTCTCTCTCTCTCTCTCTCTCTCTCTCTCTCTCTCTCTCTCTCACCGTGAGCATAGCTCTCTTAACTACACTTAAAATCACACTCACACTCCTTCCCGGTCTCCCTCCACATTCTGCTGTCCCTTTTTTCCATTCACGTCCACCCCCATCTCTCCCACAAACCACCTCAACTCCCCTACACACATTTTCCTCTGTCCCCAACCTCATAAAAACCCTCCTTGCACACCTCCATCTCACCACGTTACTGTAACCATCTTCACAGAAATGTCCCTCTCCCCCCAACCTCCCACCTTTCCCATTCTTTCCCTCCAGGCGGGAGGGACTCACTCACTCTCGTGAGTGTGTGTGTGCGAGAAAACATGCAGTTTATATGTCCAGCAAACACGCAACGTAACCACGTTTTTATTGTTGTTGTTTACAACATTGTGGTAATGCTGTGTGTGAGATGAACATTGGAAAACAACCCTTACTTCATAGGAGCTTATCCTAATTAAACACAGGCTTGGGGGTTGAACCCATGACACTCCGTACAATCACAGATCACCTTGGAAAGTTGTGAGGCTAACTGCAAGCATCTGGCCTCCAATCTCAGACATTCTATTTCATAGATACTACTAGATCATGGTTATAGCAGGCAAACACTTCTCTCGCAATTAGCCGAGTTGGTTTCTGTGTGAGCCTGTGTTGATCGTGAAGCACAACTCGTACAATTTAATTAACTGTCTACAGGAAATGTTAACATTTATAATTGGTAACAATTATAAGTGGACTGATAAAAGCCCCACATCAAAAGGATAGCATCAGTGGCATATGCTACATTGGCCAACATAAGAACTTCCTTTAAAAACTTGTTCAAGGAATCATTCAGAACCTTGTATACCACTTATGTCAGACCAATCCTGGAGTATACAGTTCCAGCCTGGCGTCCATACCTAATTAAACACAAGACAAAATTAAAGACTCAGAGGTATACCACCAGACTAGTCCCAAAATTGAGAGATGCTTTTCGAGGAAAGGCTACAGGAGCTAAGCCTCACGTCCCTGAAAGACACGAGTAAGGAGAGAGATGATCACCACCTACAAAAAATCGAGGAATTGACAGGGTGGACAAAGACTATTTAGCATGGGTGGAACACAAACAAGGTTTTATTTAATATTTCACATGCAAAGTACAGTAATTATCAAAGAAGGCACCAAGCCGGGAAGGCTATGTAGCACCATAAAAAATGAGGAATAATCAGAGGGCGCTAAATATCACTAAGGATGCCAATAAGAGAACAAACTCATAAGGCGAACGATATCAAAATTATCCGATTCACCAAGTAAGTAAGTAATTATCAAAAGAAGGCACCAAACCGGGAAGGCTATGTAGCACCATCAAGTACGCAAAATAATCAGAGGGCGCTAAATATCACCAAGGATGCCAATACGAGAACAAAAACGCATAAGGCGAACGATATCAAAAGTATCCGAGTCACCAAGAATTCTATCGAGGGACAGGTGACCGCGAGGGGCGGTCGGAAAGCAAGACACACGCTCGTCCTGGAAGTCAGGACATTCAAGAAGGACATGCACGACCGTAAGAGGGACGATGCAACTAGGACAATAAGGAGCAGGGCGGCGCTCCATCAAGTGACCATGGGTTAAGCGAGTATGGCCAATACGCAACCTCGCCAGAGCTGTTTCCCACCGCCGGTTACGGTGGAAGGAGGACGGCCACGAGGAAACACAACATTTAAGAGTACGTAGCTTGTTACCAGTAACAGACAACCAAGAAGCCTGCCAACGGGTAAGGACTGAGGAATGGATAACCGGGTAAAAGTCGGAATACGGAATGCCTTTGCGAGAGATGGGACAAGAGCGGACAGCTTCCTTGGCAGCAGCATCCGCACGCTCATTTAAAGACACACCAATATGGCTGGGAACCCAACAAAACTCAACCGACTTAAATTTACTGTGAACGAGAAACAGCCAATGCTGGATCTCGACAACTACTGGATGAACCGGATTAAAGGACCCGAGAGCCATGAGGGCACTACGAGAGTCAACAACAACCACAAAGGAAGACTGACAACGAGAAAGCAGGAGACGAAGAGCATAGAGAATAGCATAAAGTTCCGCTGTAAAGATGCTAGTCTCCGGAGGCAAGCGACACATATAAGTGCGATCAGGAAAAACAACAGAGTAGCCAACACCGTCCGCTGACTTAGACCCATCGGTGAAGACAGAAACGGAGCGGGAGTGAGAAGAAAAGTGCTCGAGGAAAAGGCGTTTGAGAACCGTAGGAGGGGTAAAAGCTTTAGTGATACGGGTCAAGGATGTACAAAACCGCGGAAGAGGGACCCTCCACGGGGGCAAAGAAGGAACAACACGAGGAGAAACATCAGAAATACGAACGGAAAGAGAATCCTGTAGGCAAGACAACCGGACAGAAAGAGGGAGGTGGTGAAGAGAAACAGGAACCGCAGGAGGGGTAAAAGTTAAAGCACGACAGAGGCGAGAGGAAGGATGTTGTAAGGACCGCGCAAGATAGCGAAGACAGTAGCGATCACGGCGGTCCTGGAGAGACAGGAAGCCAGTGTCAACATACAAGCTAAGGATGGGAGTCGAACGAAAGGCACCAGAACTGAGACGCAACCCAGTATGGTGCAAAGCATCAAGACGGCGAAGAGTAGAAGGAGAAGCAGACGAGTAAGCAGGGCAACCATAATCGAGCTTAGACAGGACGAGAGAGGAATGTAAAGCAAGGAGAGTGCGCCTATCTGCCCCCCAAGAAGTATGGGACAAGACCCGAAGGAGGGTAAGGGCCTTAGAGCACTCAACACGGAGGTAAGAGATATGGGGAGACCAAGACAAACGAGTGTCAAGAAATAACCCCAAAAGCTTCGCGGAATCTTTGTATTCAAGGGGATGACCATAAAGTGACAAAGAGGGACGAAGAACAACCCGTTTCCGCGTAAAAGTCATGGCACAAGTCTTAGAAGTAGAGAACTTGAAGCCATGACCTGTGGCCCAAGACGACACGGCATCAATGGCAAGTTGAAGCCGGCGTTGAAGGAGAGGCGAATCATCACCCTGACAACAAAGGGTAAGATCATCGACATAGAGAGCGGAGAAGACACCAGAAGGAAGAGAGGAAAGAAGACCATTGAGGGCAACCAGAAAAAGAGTAGTGCTCAGAACACTACCCTGGGGCACACCTTCGTATTGCCGAAAAGAGGGAGAGAGAGCGGTACCAAGGCGCACCCGAAAGGAACGACGAGAGAGGAAGCTGCGGAGAAAGAGAGGGAGATGACCACGAAGGCCAAAAGAATGAAGTTGAGATAGGATATGATAACGCCAAGTGGTGTCATAAGCCTTTTCTAGGTCAAAAAGGACGGCAACAACGGAGGTCTTCGCAGCAAAAGCAGTACGAATATAGACCTCCAAGTTCACCAGGACATCTGTCGTGCTGCGGCACTTGCGGAAACCAAATTGAGAAGGGGAGAGGAGATGATGGTGTTCCAGGAACCACATCAGACGAACGTTAACCATACGTTCAAAGAGTTTGCAGACACAACTTGTGAGAGCAATAGGGCGAAAGTCCTTAGGGGAAGCACCCAGAGACCCCGGTTTGCGAACAGGGAGGACAACGGCATCGAGCCAGTCCTCAGGGACTGACGACGACTCCCAGATCCGATTATACAGACTCAGTAAATACCGAGACGTGCTCGGAGGGAGATGGCGAAGCATCTCATAATGAATACCATCGGAGCCCGCCGCCGTAGAACCGCAGAGGGCCAGGGCAGAACGAAGTTCAGAGAGAGAAGGGATCATTATAGGGAAGCTGAAGATGAGTGCAGAAATCTAAAGGACGAGACTCAAGGACAGGTTTACGAAGAAGGAAAGATTGGGGAAGATGAAGACCAGAGCTAACAGAAGAAAAGTGGGAACCCAGTTCGGAAGCGACCTGCAACGGGTCCGCCACAAGAGTATCATGGAGGTGAAGGACCGGAGAAACATCGGGAACGAACTTACCCGCTATCTTGCGGATACGCTTCCAGATCTGGGCCAGAGGGGTTTCGGACGTAATTGTTGAGACATAAGATGCCCAACATTCACGTTTAGCCGTACGGATGGCCCTACGGGCCACCGCACTCGCTTTCCGAAAGAAAAGAAAAGAATCGGTCGTCTGCCTACGGCGGTGCCTCTTCCAGGCTGCACGCTTACAGCGGACAGCCCGAGCACAGTCCGCATTCCACCAGGGAACGCACTTCCGTGGACCCCGAGAGGAAGAGCGAGGAATAG